CAATTTTAGTCTTTAGAAAGCAGTATTTAGTGTTCCAGACGCTGTATTTAGACCTGTCGGCAGTATCTAGTCTTCAGAAAGCAGTATTTAGTCTTCTAGAAGCAGTATCTAGTCTTCTGCCAAAGTTATGTATGTTTTCTCCAAAATATTTTATCTTTCTTTTGCAGTATTTAGACCTGTTAGCAGTATCTAGTCTTCAGAAAGCAGTATTTAGTCTCCACAAAGCAATTTTAGTCTTGAAAAAGGTGTACTTAGTGTTCCAGATGCTGTATTTAGACCTGTCGGCAGTACCTAGTCTTCAGAAAGCAGTATTTAATCTTCCAGAGTAGTATCTAGTCTTCAGAAAGCAGTATTTAGTTTTTTAGAGGCAGTATCTAGTCTTCTGCCACCGTTATGGTTATTATTTTACCTCTACGGTAAAAATGAGAAGGAGCTCCGTCGTGTTGCAAATACATTCTTAATCGTCTTGCCAGAGGTACATACCACAGTAAACGCGGAAGTTTTTCTTCCAAAAATTGCAAGTACCTTTGTCCAGTAAGACGATCTTTAAAAATAAACGGTCCTATAAGTTGATCGTACAACATTCCGCACCACAGATTAATGCTAAATCTGCTTTGAAAATTACTTTCTATGGTAGCACGAGGGTTAATGTCCGACCATTTATGCAAATTATGGATGTCATCTCGAGTAAATTGTGACTCATCCGTAAATAAAATGTAGCGGTATAAGTTCCGATTATTATTTAACCACTGACAAAATGCTAAACGCCTAGGGAAGTCTTCTTGCTTCAGATGTTGAACACGCTGTAGATAATACGGATGCAGCAGATTTCTTTTTAATGTTCTCCATACCCTGGTATTGGGAATCCCTAAACGTATGGATATCCGTCGCGTACTAATGCAGGCATTGCGCTCGACAATGTCAAGGATGTTCTCTTCCTCTGCAACATTCTGTTGTGTTGCTCGTTCATACTGCATATGAACGCTCGGAAGTAAACCAGTTTCTCGGAGAGATTGGAAGGTACTACTAAAAGTCTTCGGCGATGGAACACGCCGATTTGGAAAACGTCGTCGATATTCAATTGAAGCTGCAGTAGCGTTTCCATCACAATTTCCCAGTACAAAAACCATATCAGCATACTCAACAGTCGTAAACTTAAACGGCATTGTACGCAAATAAAACTCAAATAATTTTAGATTAAACGGCAAGCTTGTCAAATTTGACAGTAAGGTAAATAAGTACTTTATTTTACTAATGCAGTCATAGCACACTTACCCTTTGAGCCCCGCGCTGGGCCGTAACGCCATAATTTTTAAATATTATTTTCAAATTCATATAACNGGGGTTCTAGAGGGTTCGACTTAATTATTTAGCGTGGTTGCAAAGTGAAGCACTCCACGGGGGATGAGAAAAAAAATCCTAAAGTTACCCTACAAAATTAACAAAAATTAAACCCTCACCCTGCATCTCCATCTATAAATTTGGGGATTCTGATCCTGCACGGGGGTTCTAGAGGGTTTGACTTAATTATTTAGCGTAGTTGCAAAGTGAAGCACCCCCCGGGGGATGAGAAAGAAAATCCTAAAATTACTCTACAAAATTATCAGAAATTAAACCCTCCTCCAGCATCCCCATCTCTAGATACGGGGGTTCTAGAGGGTTCAACTTAAGTACTTATCGTGATTTTAGAGTGAAACGCTCCCAAGTGGTGAGAAAAGTTCATATTTGAAATAAAATTTTAGGACCACTACTTGTTTGATCGACTGTAAATATTCGAATCTGTGTCTGGCGAGTGAATCTAACTTCAGCCACATGGAAGTAAACCAGTTTCTCGGAGAGATTGGAAGGTACTACTAAAAGTCTTCGGCGATGGAACACGCCGATTTGGAAAACGTCGTCGATATTCAATTGAAGCTGCAGTAGCGTTTCTATCACAATTTCCCAGTACAAAAACCATATCAGCATACTCAACAGTCGTAAACTTAAACGGCATTGTACGCAAATAAAATTCAAATAATTTTAGATTAAACGGCAAGCTTGTCAAATTTGACAGTAAGGTAAATAAGTACTTTATTTTACTAATGCAGTCATAGCACACTTATCCTTTGAGCCCCGCGCTGAGCCGTAACGCCATAATTTTTAAATATTATTTTCAAATTCATATAACTCAATAAGTGAAGTGAATCGGACATATGTTCATATGAACTTTTTTATTACACATCATCTAAACAACATGCTCCATTAGTGCCGGGAGAACTTCATGAAACACCCTGTATAAATTGTTTCTATTATATGTGGGTGCCGTCTCTTATGCTTCAACGCTTTTTTAACGTTCGACACACTGTCAAACGCTTTCGTCAAATCTATAAAGTTGTGCTATTCTTACGCGATTGTTGTTATGTGCTTCAAAAAGCGATGTTGTAGGAGGTAGGAAAACAACTTGATGTTGTCTAGGAATAAAATTCCTCAGCAATTTTCTGGATCTGAGGATGTTCCTTTCTTAGAAGTTGGAATAGTGATATTGCTTCCAGCTCTCTTCTGCCGCTCTTCGGAGACAGTGTTGTTTTTTAGTTGTTTAATCTGTATCATTACCTCCTCCGTTGTAAATTGTTGTGTTTCCTCAATTTGTTCAGCATCTACTCTCTCTAGTGTTTGTCCTTCAGCAGAGGTTATATCACCTTTTCTTTCTGTAAGAACTTGTATTTAAACTTCAATCCACGATCAGTTGATACAGCTGTCAGTTGTTCTTCTTCTGTTAAAGTTAAATTCAAATTAAGACAAAATAAGTCCTTATCGTAGCTGTAATACGCGACTAAGTACTTTTCCTCAGTGTGCAAAAGCAGCGTCTGTGTTGGGAGTCCATATTGACAGATACATAGTGTTCGAATAAAGGTGATTTAGGAAGTCGTCATTTAATAAAGGTAACTATTTGAACAATTTGATCTGAAACTACCGTTTATATTTCTCCTAATGTTTTTCAAGCTTCCAATTAACCTTTCAGCATCCGGCAACTTAACTCACTGACCAGAAAAACCACCACCAACGAAATCCAACTTCACTGCCTCCCAAAAACTAGACTGGTTTTATATCAAAATATACAGTACGCGTTATAACTAACCCACCCCCGGTCTAATTTGAAAACGGTTCTAGATACATAACTAATATACGGGTTTTCCATTTAAAAAAACAAAGTTCACCCATTTTCCGGAAAAACTAAAAGTGATAAACAATTTTTAGATTAAATTATTTGGGCTAACCAAAAATAAAAAATCGACGTGATTCGGTTCATGACGATATCTCAAACTGTTTTCAAATCAAACAGAGGGATTACTTATGACGCGTATTGTATATACGGGTTGCTTCTATAAGTTGTGGCATAATTTTAATCACAAATACTAGACTAAAAATGATGACGATTAGTGTAAAAATTTTTGGTCTAAATTCATAAATGGCTAAGATATCGGGGGAAATTTTTAAACATTTTTTTAAATGTTTTCAATATGGTTTGTCTTAAGAAGATAAAATTCGGCAAAGTTACAACATAAGAAATCGTATAAGATCACTTTTCAGAATATGCAACCACAGGATCAATGCTAGATTGTTCATAAAGGTTATTTTCTTAAACTTTTTTATTATGTCGTATACCCTTACATTTTTCAACTGATTCTGAAAGCCTATTTCATTTTGTTTTCGAGTTATTCGCAAGAAGAGGCAACCTCGATTTTAAAATGGTTTCATTATTCGTAGGTGCCTATGAACACAAATTGTAAGTAACACAGTAAAGCAACTGTGAAATTATTACCCGCAGTACTTATACCGTCGTATTCTACGCATTTCATGGATAGACCTGATATAGACACTCGTGGCTCAAAGATCTGCACTTGTGGTTTGGATGTATGTACATCTATTGAAATATTCAGATGTGCAATATCACGCATTTATTATAGCAAGTTCAATCGACAATCTGCGTAGGGAGATGGCGGACTAATTGTAGGGAAAAGAATGGAATTGTTATTAATAAAGGCTATTTATTGCACTTTCGGTTATGCGATTTGATTAAATATTATATATGTATGTATATTTTTCATAATTATAAAGGCACATACATTAATCGTATATATTTCAAAATCAGAAAGTGACTTATTGATTTATATTTTACTTATTTATGAAAACAATGAGGTTTAATTTCCAATTCACCTTCATTGCTTTTATTAGAGATGCTAACTTCTAAGTTAAAACTATAATATCCATCGATGCTTTTTCTGCTTAAATTAACGCGTTATTTTAATCTTAATGAAATTTAAAAAATCGTTTTGATTCGAACGATCAAGATATTAGTAAAACTTGATGACAAGTAAAGATCAAAGGACAGATTAAGTCATTGTAACTAACTAATTATTAATTTCTGACGATTTTACTCGAATTGATATAATCTAATTTTCAAATGGATTCCTTTGGACAATTTACAATTCCTATGCTAATTCGTGCGTACAATGAATGTTTGGCGACAAAGGCGTGCCGAGGTTGATAAAGGCTCTCCATCTTTACTGTTAAAGCGAGAACCAGTACCTAATTACCCTCAGTAGTTTGCATCATCTAAAGGGTTAGTAGCAGTCGTGTTTTGATGCGTTATCTACCTCCAAACTAGAAACCAAATTAGTTTCCTCTTTAAATAAAAGCACAAACAACAACAAACATGTGCTATTGACGTTTCTTTTCTGTTTAATTACAAAGGAAATTTAAAAATCTTCTTTATTTTTTACTTTAGTTGAAAAATGAAAACAGGCACGGTTCGATTAAGATTATAGGCAATCGCCGCAACAAGTTATTTTCCGGTGGAATCGAGTCCATCTAGCGATAATAAATAATCAATAATCGTCTCTCAAGGGTGAAATCGGTTTATAATTTCAACAAAATTTCAAATATAATTGATTTTTAAAGTTTTTTTTTAAGTTGAAAAGGTGGAAAAAATTAATTCATTAAATTTCTTTTTGTTTCAGACAACGCAACCAGATTTTGTAACTCCGATAATACTTGGGATAAATATGCCGATTTTAAAAATTGCACGGAATTAATGGAAGAGGAGCACGAAGTCGAATTAACCACTACGATTTATTTATGCGGATATTCAATAAGTTTGGTCGCTTTGATAATTGCAGTTTATATTTTCATCAGATATAAGTAAGCGAAAATTTTTTATGCTTATCTTTTTTGACACGTCGAAAAGTTTAAACATCTCGTGTTTAAATTTGGATTAACTATCTTATCTTTGCAATTCTCGGAATAAGAAAATATTCCCGTAAAAGGAGCGGTTTTAATATCTTTTTTATTAATTTAGGATTATAAATAATACACGAAATAATAAATTATTACAATGATTTATTTAAAATTCAAAAAATGTAACAAAGATAATTGATTAGAAATTAAATAATCTCACCCTTTTTTGCCACGTCGATGTTTATGAGTTTGCAAAATAAGATGGAGGAGTTGAATCTCACTATTCTATAAAAGTGAAGAGACCACTACTCCACTTACTCAACCGACTCAGAAAATTCTTACAAGAAAATGTTTTCTTAATGTTTTCCTCACAACGTCACGAGTAACACTACTAAACCGATTCTAACGCGTGAAAACCAAGTTGAGAAAAGAGATAATAAAGATGATGCGGTAAATATTTGTTTTTCCATCGCGATAAACCCATTTTAAAGGAACTGTGAAAGTTGTAAGTTTTGTAGACTTCGGGCGCGTCTTAAAAGTGGAAGAAATAGATCTGGCACGAGTACTTAAAAAATAGTTAAAAAGAAAAATCTACATGCCATAGACCTAGCCTTCCACCTTAAAGTCAACACCCGATTTTTCCAGTCGAAACGTCTAAGGCGATGTAATTAGATCAACCGTTTCATATCATCTTTTATAGGCAGGGTTTTCTTATCCTATATTGATATACCGATATCGATAACCAATAGTCGTCGTTGTCATACGTGGCATTTATTTATAAGAAAATGTACCGATAACGGGTTATCTACCTATTTTTTTCCTTACCGCACGTACTCCAACTAAAATCCATAAATGTAGATCAAAATTTTTCGTGTATTTACCCAAAAATTTCTTCGCGTATGATCTAAAAAGTTGTTTAAGATTTTTGGAAGAAAGAAATCGAACAATAAAATATTAATATTTTTATATTTTTTGTGAACATTCGAACTTCTTAAATTTACTACTCAAAGATGTTTGCGTGGAATTTTTACTCTTAATACCTTGATATCATATCAGTAATCAAGTTTAATTGATGGGATTGATAAAAAAAATTGTTGTGAACCAGACAAAAACATGTTTCGTGTTCATCTTTTATTATTTATTTTATTCTATTTTATATTTAGCTTAAATTTCAAGTAAAAGCTAATTCTATATCTTTATTTGTTTATTGTTTACTTTAATTTTTGCTAAAAAAGTGTCAATAGTGACCCCATTATGAGAAATTTAGAGTATTAGTGTGACTATTTAATTTACAGCTATTGTGAAATGTGACCAAAATGAATAAATTAATAAAAATATATTTATTCATAAAATGTTTTATAACAATTCCTTCATTTCTTTTACTTCAATCCAAGTAATTACTTTATGATTATTACAAATAAATGGATTGCAATTTTTACAAATCAATGAAGACTTTCTGTCAGAACTCCTGGAATATTTTCAACAGTGGAAACATCTCATGTTTCCACTGTTATTCCAGTCTAGTTCCAATCTTTGGTTTTCTTGAGAGCTGCTTCAGAGTATCTACACTTGACTTACTTCTATTCTAGTCAATAATTATTTGTGTCTTCTTATTTTTATGGTGTTGGTTTTGGAGGATGGGATCGGCACATGGTTGTTAACATCGGCTTTTGTCGCATGTTTAAATATCGAAACTGTACATTGTGAACGCAAGATTGTAAGGTAGTTCGCTCGCTGGCACTCAGACAAGCCTTAAACGCGCTGAGTGTGACACATATGACTTTTGCAGCTTTTGGGCGTTGGCACTGCGGGAACAAATGTGCACATTTGACTGCGTCAAATATTTGTTTTAAGATTCTTTCTGAATATATATTGAATATTAACGGCTACAGAATAATAGGCTTTGTTAAAAATTACCGTGATCCAGATTATTTCTGCTAATAGTTTTAAGAATACCCTCCTGGACGCCTCTTAAGACGATCTTCAGCGGCTTTTCCTTCGTGAGTTTGCAAAAATTCCATGACACGTTGGATTCTATTACGTTGGTACGATAGTATTCGAAGTTCAACTTTCAAATTTGCCGCTTCTCTATCATTAATACCAGCTCTGCCGTCGATATCTTTATTGATATACATACCTTTGTCCTGATTGACTACTGGTGGTATATGCAGAGCGTTGTTCTTGCTCTTTTCTTCGCTTTCCTGGCTGAAATTTTAACTTAACTGTTTACTTTTCTAGAAAAAATGAAAGATTTCAGATTACCTCTATGTTTGGTATTGATTTCATGTCCTCTTTATTTACGAAATTTTTTTTAAATTCGTTACTACACTTATTATATCTAAGTAGGCGTTTGTACAAGCGGCAACATCTATTGACAAAGAATGTTTGAATCATCTTACTTTATTATTAATAAAAAAGATAGTTTCCAGATTTGATGAATGTATTCCTTGACCTAACTTTAATTTCTCCTTCATCGTTGAGTATGTAGATGATATCTGTGCGGTTCCTTTTGACCGAGTCGATCATGTTCTTTATGTTTTTAATGGTTTTGCACACAAAAACCATTTACCAAAGACTAATATGGAGTCATCAGAAAAGATGATCAAACTAATATCTTGTACTACTACACTAAACCTACGTACTCTGAAAAATCATAAATTTTCACTCTGATCATTCTGTTAATCTCTTGATTAACACTATTGTTGCTAGGCGCGACAGAATTAAATTAATTTCCAACTCTGTTTTTTTTTAGAAAGAAATAAGAAAAGATTGGCCAGTGTTTTTATCAATAATGGTTTCCTGAACCAATAAAAACAATAAAAATAGTTAGAGTAAACTTTCAGTAAACTTGTAGGACGATTCCGCACAACGCTCCCCAAATATGTACATATGTATATGACTCCTTCTTAATCGACCACCGTACAATTGAAAACATTATACACCAATGGCAATTTACTTATTATTTTCAAACTTATATATTCCTGTCGACGCGCATAATTAAACATGTCATGCAATTGTGTTTTGCGAAGATTCCTTATACTATTCGCAGCATCTCCACACAATTCTATAATCCTATGTATCCTTACAGTTTCTGTAACTTTTGTGCAAAACATGCGTTCCTAACATCATTGTAGCTACTGGATTCGGTCTCGTAGCATTGAAAAATACATTGAAAATTCAACTGTTTATTTTCTCATTTGCTTACAAAGGCAGATAAAACAATATCCAAATTACTCCAGTTTAAAATGTAAATGTAGCGGTAAAGAAACAGTTTGAGAATATCCTCATTTAATTGATTATATGATATAATATGTTTATAAACATTGTTTTGATACTTCTTGCCTTTTCACAATTGTTTTCCACAATAACTTTCTGTTTAGATGAAGACCGATGTATTTAACAGCTTTCTTTCACGACTTTTTATCATTAGCCTTCATTAATACTTACTTCATTGCTTCAATCTTTTTACGCTTCATCAGCAACACAAAATAATCAGTATATACAATAATTCTAGCTTCCAAAAAAAGTAATGGAGACAAAAGACCACATTGTGGTAAGCATATATACGTAACTTTTTTTTCATTCCCTTTTCCTAATTAATAGTCTCTATCCTAATTACTTTTATATTATATATTATTGATATATTAACTAATTTCTATTTATTAACCAACAATATCCCCTTTAATAAATTTTCTCGAGCAGTCAATTAATTCTATTATCTAAAGGATTTTAGACGAATATTTTTCCCCTTCTATCTTTCTAGATATTTTGTGTATTGATTTTACTGGTATTTTCCTGTAATCTTTCATGAAAATGGTAAATAGTTAAGTCAAAAAATTAATCACACAATTAAGGGATATGTTGTACACAATAAAACGTACTCTAATCTCAGTCAGATGCAAGACCAATAGGTGTAATACAAAGTTCGATTCTCCTCTCCCATTCTTTTCTTCCTACATAGAATTTTCATTATTACTTAACGTTTCACTGTATAGCTTAAAACTTAAGAAAGATTGCCAGGAGCGTAATGAAAATGAAGAGTGATTAGTTGCGCATCATGCTAAGGACATCACTTTAATTTGCTATCTTGGATAAGTAGTTAACTGACCGTAAGAGTTTTTTAAAATGGTACATATTAATAGACGATGGACTTGTGAGTTTTAGCACGGATACTGAAAATTTAAGTTAAAATTTAGTTTATGATTTTCAGTAAATCTCCTCATTTGGTTCTTTGTCTCCATGAACACTTTTTGGGAATTCTTGAGTTAAAGTTATTATAAGGTTTTGTGGAAGAGGATAATGGATGGTTTCTTTGAGAGATGGCTTCGTTTTTTTTTTAACAATGGATGTATACTTGTCAAAAGAGAGTCATCTCTAAACAGTAATCTGTGTATAACATCCCTATTACACGCCTCTCGGGAAATTTGTCTTATTTCAGCCTTCTATAATAGCTCTCAATGAGTTCACATCAATCTCATGTCCGCTTGCTATTGGTTCCAATATAATTGACATTCTGAAAATTAAGGTTTCGTCAACTGTAGTAATTCTGCTTGTCAATTTAGGTCATTGGAAAAATCTTCTAACCGAATTCTCACCAATGGTATTTACAAAGTCACCTTTAGAAATATCCACTAAGAGACCTAGCTCTTGTCTGAACTTCTCCTGAATTATTTTGTCTCAATTGCAGTCTATTTATCTTTTCCAGATCTTGCTTGCCACTTTACAATTGAAAACTAGTATAACAAGTAAAGGATATTCCTAATGATAGTGATTCTGGGTTCACATCTTTCTTCTTTGATAGATGTTTTAATTTTTTGGAAGTCAATCTTTTAAAATGTTAGCAGCATCTAAATTTTCACTAATTCTCAAGCTAATTTGTGCTGCAAACGTTAACTGCTGTTGATTTGCTTTTAATGGCCAACCTCCTGCACTTGCATCTGCTAAAGGTCATTGGCAAAGCGATAACACCTTGTAACCAACGAACAGTCGCGTTTTCCAATACGTCACTTTTCTTGCAGATCATTAATTTTTATAATCAGATTTAAAACAGGGCCGTTTATGCTTCAGGATTTGTCATTCACATTTGGTAATTTCAAATAAATGGAATTTTATTATTAAGAATCATAAGTTGCGAAAGCCTAAAAATTGTGTCATAAGTAACTGTATACATGTAAGAACCTTCACTTGCAATGTCTCTATCGAAATCTTCTTCTCAAAGTATCACTAACTTTTAGAACGACTAAAAGTAGGTGTCTTTAAAGCTCCATGATTTACAATGTGCAACGTAAACGAGAATCCAAGTAGCTTTTTGTTCTGAAAAGACGGCTTAACCCGAAAATCTCTAATTCTAGATCTAGTGTTAGTTCTGGTAGTAGGAGTAATATAAACTAAAACATAATGTACTAAACCACGATTAAAAGTTAATAATTAATTACACACTCAAATTAATCAGTGGTTTAAGTTTTCAAAATCAGAATTGTCGATGTCGTTAGTCGTACTCAGCTGGGTGTCTGAGTTTGTATTTAAATCCATGTTCGTAACACTCGTCACAACGTCATTCCTTCACTTCCTTGTCGAACCTTCTTTAGTTATGCTGCAACTTATTGCAAGTACAACAGTAACTTTAAAACACTAGGTCAACAAAATCAGCATCAACATGAGAAATGTGTAGAATATGAAGTATTCGATTTTGATTATTTCGATTTATTGGATTCGAAATTGTTTTCACAATTGTGAGATTACGTACATATCTCACAATTGTAATCTTTCCTGCTCTTACGGTTGTCAATTTTTTTTCTATTATTAGGATGAATGAATGAAAAAGTTTATTCAATTAAATTATGTATGGTACGATGAAACAAAATTAAATTTGTTTTAGAACACATTTTATTTCATTCTACAATATATTTCAATTACTTTTTGGAATAAATTTTTTTAAATTTTCAACTTAATTTTGAAAACAATCAACTCTAAACATTGTGAATTAAAAAATCGCAACAACTTAATTTATAAAAATTAAGAAATCGTTTATGGCACAACAAAACTAAATTACATTTTCTTTAAAATGCCGTTAATCTTGTCATGATATCTCAATTAGTTTTAACGATACGATTTTTTAATAAGTAACATCCATAAATGTTAACCGTATTTAAAAAATTATAACAACGATGTTTATGAAATCTATGAAATCACGTTATAGTACCAATAAAACTAAATTAACCCTTTGTGTCCCGACGGTACTTTAAAGTACCGGTAGTTTTAAACATTCATTTTAAACTGTAGTCATCTATTCGGCGCATTTAGAGCTGTCGATACTTTCTACTATACAAGAAAGAATCTGTATAAAAAATGACACAATCCGCACTGTAGGGTTTTTAGGTATATTTAAACTTATTCGTCCAGATGTGAGGTTAGAAGTTTAGTGAAAAGTGGTCTTGTTAAATTTTGTTGTTCAAAAAGGTATCTTTTTGATAAATGGTTATTAAAAGAAAATTTAAAAATTTAAGTTTTGTTCCAACCCAACAATTATTATACATCATTTTAAAGAGAAAGCTTTGAGCTTTAATTTAGAATAAGTCTCATTCCTTAATTTCAATAAATACGGCTTCCACGAATTTTTAAATTAACATCTTTTTTGACACTTTTAGGTTATACGAAAATGTAAGTTTTGTTTCAACATCTTTTTCTCAATATTTTTCCAATCCAACCCAACAATTATTATACATCATTTTAAAGAGAAAGCTTTGAGCTTTAATTTAGAATAAGTCTCATTCCTTAAGTTCAATAAATACGGGTTCCACGAATTTTTAAATTAGCATCTTTTTGATACTTTTAGGTTATACGAAAATGTAAGTTTTGTTTCAACATTTTTTTTCTCAATATTTTTCCAATCCAACCCAACAATTATTATACATCATTTTAAAGAGAAAGCTTTGAGCTTTAATTTAGAATAAGTCTCATTCGTTAATTTAAATAAATACGGCTTCCAGGAATTTTTAAATTAGCATCTTTTTGACTCTTTTAGGTTATACGTAAATATAAGTTTTATGTTAACATTTTTTTCCTCAATATTTTTCCAATCCAACCCAACAATTATTATACATCATTTTAAAGAGAAAGTTTTAAGCTTTAATTTAGAATAAGTTTCATTCCTTACTTTCAATAAATACGGCTTCCAGGAATTTTTGAATTTGCATCTTTTTTGACGCTTAGATTGAGCGAAAATGTTAGTTTTTGCTCAATATGTTTTTTCTCAATATTCTATCAGATTTTCGTCGTTCTGTAAATACAAAAAAAATTATAACTTTATTATTTATTATTACATTTGCTTATATAAACGAATGGTTAAAATAATCGCAGTGTAAACCAAAAAATTAATCTACGCGAACGCACAATATTAGCGCAAAATGTGACTTTTTGATTAAATGAATTTTGTGGCTTNTAAGTTTTGTTTCAACATTTTTTTTCTCAATATTTTTCCAATCCAACCCAACAATTATTATACATCATTTTAAAGAGAAAGCTTTGAGCTTTAATTTAGAATAAGTCTCATTCGTTAATTTAAATAAATACGGCTTCCAGGAATTTTTAAATTAGCATCTTTTTGACTCTTTTAGGTTATACGTAAATATAAGTTTTATGTTAACATTTTTTTCCTCAATATTTTTCCAATCCAACCCAACAATTATTATACATCATTTTAAAGAGAAAGTTTTAAGCTTTAATTTAGAATAAGTTTCATTCCTTACTTTCAATAAATACGGCTTCCAGGAATTTTTGAATTTGCATCTTTTTTGACGCTTAGATTGAGCGAAAATGTTAGTTTTTGCTCAATATGTTTTTTCTCAATATTCTATCAGATTTTCGTCGTTCTGTAAATACAAAAAAAATTATAACTTTATTATTTATTATTACATTTGCTTATATAAACGAATGGTTAAAATAATCGCAGTGTAAACCAAAAAATTAATCTACGCGAACGCACAATATTAGCGCAAAATGTGACTTTTTGATTAAATGAATTTTGTGGCTTTATGAGCGACAAGTAAGGTAATAGTGAGATGGTTGTTGGCGCCTGTGAACTAGCTGTGTTAGATGACAAAGCATACAGATTATCGAAAGGCAACCATTACATAAATATGAGCAAAGCCGATTATAATACGCAGATAAGAAATTTATGGTTATAAGTTTATAATTATAGTTATATTTAAAAAATATATAATTCTCAAATGTATACGTTAAACAAGATGACTTGTTGGTCACACCTTGATTCCTGTGAAAATTATCTTTAAAATAGTACAAAACACATACGTTTATCAACTGAAAGTTACCTACTCGAAAAAATAAAAATGTGACCGGTTTTAAACTGATAATAAAACTGGGGTCGAGTAAATATTTGTGAAGTACTTTAAGTCTACCTGTTTGGAAAAGCGAATCAGTATCAAAAAAAAAGTTCTAAAAATTAAATAAATAACGAAACGAGTGAGATTTGACGCCTAATAGCGTTATTAGATAATGTTTTTCCTCCTTCTCACCGAGAAAAGTGTTGCACAAAACTCAAGTCTCGTTCCTAACACGAGTTTTGATGCCGATAGCGTCTCGACTCGTTCAAATATTTACGAACTTCGATCCTCGTTCCATTGCGTATCAGGTTATGAAATATCTAAAGAAGGTCGACTGCAAAGTGAGGCAATTTTTCCCTGAAATTTCCCGCTATGCGATCGCCTTAAATATTACATGAGCTTCTCACTACTTATTATACCATTTTCACGGTTGAAATGAAAACGAATAATTTTTTGTGAATCTTCCAATGATTTGCACTTATAAATTAAATTAAAAGAATTTTTACTATTTCCTTTTTGTATTCTCTTACAGAGATTTAAGATGTTTACGTAACTCGATCCATATGAATTTGATGATCAGCTATATTTTTTCGAATTTCATCTGGATCCTTACGTTATTGGTACAGGTGAGTTTTATTGTTGTTATTTGAGAATGATAAGAAAAGGTGTTTACTTGGAAATGTGAGAATTTAAGGAATTTTCAATTTAAACTGGTCTTAAGCGCTTACTCTATACTTGAGTTTTAATGAAACCTCTTAAGGAAAATCGTAGAAGGTTGGATGAGAGGATTAATTTTAATCAAAGTTTAAAAGAAAAAAAGATAAACATTCTTTTAAAACTAATTAAACTAACTAATTAAAAGAAATTATCGTTTTAATGACGCCCATCAAAACATTTCAAGATATAGATCATATAAATTTAGTCTTTTTAAATAAATTTGAGGGTCAAATTTGAAATATTTTCTGAAGAGAAAAACTAAAGTTTAGGGATAAAGACAGTTCGATGTTTCAAAACTTCTTTCTTTGTTGTTATCGCAGGACATCTAACATAGATATCTTATATTGGGTTTCAGGTGTCTTTGCCCTCAAGCAAAGTTTCCTGCGTGTTCTTACTGCTTCTGCTGCACTATTTCCACCTCACCAACTTCTTCTGGATGTTTGTCGAAGGTAAGCACTTCGTTTTTTAGTTTGAAAGTGCTCTACTTTGATAGAACTTGCAGGAATTTTTATAAAATCTTCAATCTTAATGAAGCAAGTTTGTACTTTATTAAATTTAATGTACGCACTAATTGTTCAGATTCAAATCAATTTAGGTTTTATTTTTAAATCTCAATTAATCATAAAAATCTTAGTTTCTGAGATACGATTTTTTATTTTAAATATAATTTTCGTTACAATTAAGACTTATCATGAGTTACATCATAACAACTAAGTATATTCATTAAGAATTTGTTTATGGTGCAATAAAATTAGATTACATTTTCTTTAAAACTCTTTTTATTTCATCGTAATATGTTGATTAGTTTTTGAGATACGATTCTTTAATTTTCAACGTAATCTTCATAAGAATCAAACTGAACAGTGACATTAAAAAGAATTAACAAGTTTATGTAAATTAAGGAATCGTTTATGGTACAAGAAAACTAGATTAAATTTTCTTTAAAACGCCGTTTATCTCGTCAAGATATCTCAATTAGTTTTGGAGATACGATTTAATTATGTAAGTAACCTCCATAACTATTAAACTTACACAGTTATATTTAATAAAATATAACACAATGATTATGAAATTCAAGAAATGATGTATGGTACAATGAAACTAAATTAAATTTTCTTGAAACCACTTTCTATCGCATCGTAATATTTTGATAAACTACTCAATATAATCTTCATAACTATCAAATTAGTACATTGTAATTTAAAAAATCATAACAATAAAGTTCCTTTTCATCTCGAAACCTTCGATGTTGCAGTAATTAGTAATCTTTTTTTCATTATATTTCAAAATTTCACATCCATCATCGACGCGTATTTCGGCATTTTCCTCCAAATTGCTGTCATGTTCACGTTTATAAACCGACAGCGCCACCATAACTCCCCCCAAATGTCCTCACTATTCCCAAATATCCCTTTCCGTGTACGGGGAGAGTTTATTGGGTAGGTTATTTAACGTTTAATTACGATGTAAATTGGGTTAATAGAAAGTACACTCGCACTCAAACAAATTTAACGTTTTATTTTTATAGGTTTATACTTGTACATTCTCGTCGCGAAGGCTTTCGCCGGTGAAAATATAAGATGGTGTTTGTACGCTTTCATCGGTTGGGGTAAGCCGCAAAAATTTCTAAAATGTTATGATCGTTTTTTCTTTTTTGTGAAATGGTGGTGGAGTAATCCAGGTCGTTTTCGTTTGGGTTATTTCAGGAGCTCCGGGGATATTCGTCGTAATATGGGGGATCGCGAGAACTATATCGATATTCTTGGAAGACTGGGATAATCGTGAACTGGTAATATTTATTTTATTTGTAATGTTTTTATTTTATTCTCCCTTACTTATTTTATATATTAACCACTAAATTATTAAAATCACTTTATTAATCAAATAAAGGGAATATTCTAATAAAATGGCCTCTTTTATGAAAATAGAATGTTGAAAATAATTATTCTTTGTAGCTCTGTTTAATAATGATGAACTGTTTGGTTGTATTGTAAACCCTCTGGAGAGATTTTGCGAAAATTTGCGTTCCACGCGTGCAAAGCTTCAATTAGCTTTCGAGTGCACGCTCAAAAACAAATGGGTAGCAGACCCGGCGAGCTTAATTTGTCGTTATTGCTATCTCTTTAGACTCTTGGAGATTAGAGCTAGAGTAAAGTTAATTGAGAAAAAGAGAGAGAGAGAAAAAGAAAAAGGTCGCTTTCGTCGACGCATCGTCCGCGGGGGGAAATTATTTTTCTCAGAAAAATTCTTTTATTAAAACTTTTTATAATTATAAAATGTAAAAAAAATGTTTTAATAATTTTTTGTTCCTTTTTAATTGGGACACAACACGGTTTTGCAGCAACATCAACGTAACGGAATTAAGACCTGCCCCTGGGCACCACATCCTCTAGATTGGATCTATCAGCTGCCAGCGGTTCTCGTATTACTGGCAAACCTCATCTTTCTCTTCGTAATCATGTGGGTACGTAACAAGAAGCTTTGAAAATGACATTCTTGTTGAAAAATCGATCCTTGTCTTTTTTATTTTTTGGCTCCGCTTAGGTATTGATCACCAAACTTCGATCCGCAACGAACGTCGAAACTCAACAATACAGAAAAGCAGCAAAAGCACTCCTCGTACTAATTCCTCTGCTGGGTATAACTTATATATTGATGATAATGGGGCCTACGCAGGGCGTTTCGAAGCAGATTTATGAATATGTACGCGCTGGAATGTTGTCGATTCAGGTAAGCTGGAATTCGGACTTCCTGTTTTGACCCCGAGATTATAACCCCTCAAGCGTATAAACTCACCATTAACTGTTGTAAAATGTACATAGTAAGCTCACTTACAATTAGCAAACTGAAATTAGTTAAATTAAACCCTAAACTTTAAACGTGTTGTTAGAGATAGAAATATTTTCCATTTGGTTACACAAAATACAATACATATAATAAATTCGGAACCATTCGAAACGAACCCAGTAACTCTATGGAAATTTTTGTAATGAGGTCAATCGTGGTCATCGAGTCGAACGGCACCAACAAAACAACAACCACAAAAAAAGAAGTGTTCTGAATATGCGTGCGATGTCGAAATAAAAAATAATTGAAGTGGAACACGAAAATTACATTTATCGATTTATATGTTGGGAGGTACTTTGACTATTATTTTACTTAAAAAATTCTTTTTATTTTTAGAACAAATCCCTTTTGCTATTTGATCAAGAGTTTTAGTTATACCACATCAAATCCAAACATACGCAGGACACACTCTCAAATCCCAAGATCAATAGGGTCAGGTTCTCGCACCGTTGAACTAACCCAGCTTAGCTTGACAAACGTCGCGTAAAATCGGAACTTTGAACAATAAAGAACCCATAATAAATTGATGAATGCCGCCAAATTTAGATTACTTTCACTCCAATTTTTAATAAATTATTTATTTCAAGGGATTTTCCGTTGCATTCTTTTACTGCTTCATGAACGCCGAAGTAAAAAACACCGTTCAACATCACTTTAGAAGTTGGCATACAACCAGATCGTTAGGTTCGAGACGAACTCGATATAGTAGCCGAGATTTCTCATCGCCCAAATTCAAGGATAGTTTAAGGTAAATTAATTCAAATTTAAAACAATCTTTATATAAATAAATACTTTATTTAAGATTATACCACGCGGGTGGTCTATTTAAGAAGAGAGAATCCGCAACATCCGTAGGTACAACAACTACCCTTATCTCAATTCCAACACACCGAAACAGCTCCCCTCAAATTCGTTGCCCTCTTCTACCACCTGCTACGAATGAAACCGGCTGAGAACGGCAGCCACGGGAGGATCGCAGGTTAACAATGGATATTCTTCTCGAAGAAGAAAGTATGTTACAACTCGACGAGATTTCCCGTGGCAATGGAAACGTGATTGCCGAAACAAATGTGGATGATAATGAAAATGAAATGTAAAAGAATGATGGGTCCAAAGATTCAAAAAGAAATCCTTCCGAATTTATATTATTTTTAATTTTACAATTATTAAATTATCTTATTAATGTACAAAATAAAGAAAATAAAGTAAACGGTGTTAAAACATTTAAAAAAATAATTGTTTCATTTCAAACAACAAAATAATACACGAAAGTAGTTCAACCATCCGTTGATAACAACATATCTCGAAGTGAGTCATAAAAAATCCTCTTGTTATCTGGGGAGATGGCACGAAAACATGACGAAATGTAATCCCAACTTAAGTACGACGCGTTGTCTTTCCAAATACTGTACACATCGTCGGAGCTTATAAATCCCTTTCCTTTTAAATGCGACGGCGATTAAAAGTTTTCGTTTACGTAACTACATAGGTACTTTAAATCTTACCATCCTTATCTAACAATCTGAAGATTTCGATCGCTCGTAGTTCTTTATCCACGACGGTATTGTGGTATTCCATAATTTTTAAAAAATTTTCGATGGGGATTAAGAGGTTGTTGTGAAATAATAGGGAGACTTCGAATTCGGATGGGGTGTAACCAAAAATGGATGTTATGCAAATTAAATATTCACGTTTGGTTAAATATTTTTTGGGTCCTATTAATTTTTGAATAAATTTTTCCATTCTTTTGTATTATTTGATTGACAAATTAAACTGTCATTGAATTTATTACAAAATATTATTAATTATATTTATATTTTTGTGGTCCTGTATATTCATCTTAATGTAAAATGTCTATTAACGGTACTTGACAGAACTTGTCAGAGTAAATTAATCTTATCAGTAAATATAACCGATAATTACTTACTTAATAGGTACCTATTTGTAGATGAATACACTACACCGGGCATGAAAACAACAAAATTACTCGGTCATCCAGTTTCAAACATTGCCAACATGAGACAAAGGACTACAAGAAAATATATACCGTATCAACGTATTCAACGTTGAACTAATGAACATGCCAAATGATACTCGTAGAAACAAGTGTGCCCATATCAGTCAGTTAACACAAATTGAAATTTCTCTAAATTATAAAAACTGAACCGCCTTGAGGTTACTTCGAACCTCACCAGTTTTCATATCCAAATCGCTATCTATTGACCGTATCTAGGGACGACAGATTCAGCCTGTTCTCGTTGACTCTTATAAATGTCATGTAATACAATGAATACAATAGTATGCTTAATTTAGTACAGATCCAGGGAAAATCATAGTCGTGTAATATCACATTGTAAGTAAATGAGTTTTATCTCAAACTTTTGTTTAAGATTAAACCAAGTGCTTGTTGAAAAGATGTAACTCAGTTTTCTAAGGTTGACGGAATGTTAGTATTAATCAAGTACTGAAAGATGTTGTTTTTTGAAGCAGCGATTTTCCCATAAGGTGCATATTAACCGTACTGAATCATCGAACATTTTTTGTTGTTTTCCTTATAAATTTATCAAATTTTTTATTGTGCATATAACTTTATGTATTTGTTATTTATTTTGTGTTTTAATGAGCTCCTGGTGCGCTTTGCGATAAGTGTTCTCATGTATTTGCCACATAGCTCTGTCTTCTCCTTTATTACCTTTCTTCTCAATCACACTCGAGAAAGCAATTTAGAATCTGGTTCTGTCAGTACTGCTCTAATGGTATGTCAGCTCATTAGCATTCTGCCGGGCTATTTAAAGTATTACAGGTTACTCTTAACCTAAATTTTCTACCAAATATCTTCAGTACCAACTGGACTTTCTTATTAAAACCCACGCTTTTATATCTTAAAAATTAAAGACGAAATTGTGGAACGGCAGCAAATGCATTCCCCAAGATCTCGCTAAGATTGTAGGAAATAAAAAATATACACTTCGAACCAGTTTTTGAAGAAGGTTGTAACTTGGCAACCGAAACGTCAAACCCTTTCTTAAAAGATACACGGCAAAACCAAAAGTTTCTAGTGTTAGTTCTAAATTTAGTTCAATTCACATTAGCCGTGAAAGCCTAATAAAATATAAGTAAAAATGATCTCTTCTGAAAACGAATGCCAAGCAGAGCATACGTAGCCTAATCGCAAAAAATTGCTGATGCTTTTAAGGTAGCGAAAAAATGTGTGACACTATAGTGTTGTTGTAATGATTCGGGAAATCGTATGTTGAATCCACCGATGGTGAATTGAGCCCTAAAACCATATTCCATGAAATGAAGTATCTAAGAAGTGTAAAGGATGAAAGTTAAGATAAATTATTATTATTAAGACTTAGGTTAAGACACTGACATTACATTACATAGACTACATATCGGGTAGGCGGACCAACCAACCTTGCACCGTGACCCTAAAGATCTATTGTACCACGATAGATATCATTATCAAATTTCACCGTGCAGTCCAATGCTCTTAACGAACATTAATACCTTGCTCGGTGAAAGTGCTCAGTCAGATCCTTTGGGGAGATAAACTGCGACCCAAAATCGAGAATCTAATACCGTTAACAGCAGGGCAGTGGCATAAAATATGCTCAACCGTCTCTGCTTCCTCCGCACATAGTCGGCATTCAACATCGTTGGCTAAATCCAACAAGTTGAGATGTGCTTTTAATCAGCACTGCCCATTAAAGACACCCATTAGAACTTTTATGCTGCTACGAGCAAGTCCTAAAATATTCCCTGGTGTGATAGTGGCGATGTTAATAAACACCTTATCATGTCTCATTCCAGGAGAACTGGTCCACTGTAGGCGAAGTCTCTCTTCAGCCCACAGTCCAATCCTATGTTTGGCCATCGCAAATGATACACCAATTACTGGTTCTGGCCCCACAACCGCTTTAGCGCTGCCCTCTCATGCTAGCTCATCTGCCGCTTCATTTCCAGAAGACACTGACATACGGTATCTAAATGTTTAGGTTTTAGGCGACTTTATAGAAAAGACACAGATATGTTGGTGGGATCATTTACAAAGAATGCAAAATACAATACAAGTGACGTGTGTGGCTGGCAAGGAAGCAAGTAGGTGGAAGAAGGTGAAGACCACGTCAAACATGAGACAAAAGTTTAAACGACATAACAATCGCCGGACAACACATAACAGTGGAATGAAAAGCAAGATTTAACGCATACACTTTACGGGTGATTTTATCATAATAAGAATCCATGTACGCAATCAAAACAATTTAGGCCTTGACAACATCCAGAAAAAGGAAAGATATTGGCACAGAAATGATGATACTGTTCAAAACGAAAATTAAACGAATGAGGACACTAGTAGTGGTTTAGAAATTGAAAATGAGAAACGCAAAAAAGGAGTAAGTAGTTAAGATTATTTGTGAAAATGAATCGAGCATTCGTAGAAGTACAACATCCAAATACCACCAAAAATTTTGAAGAAGATAATGTAGGACACTACACAAGACACCGGTAAAATGTTTTATGTTAATTGAAGTAAAGAAAAATGTACTTTTTAAAATATTCTGCAGGCTGTTTTAGAATAAAAAATACGTATTTGCAACGACACTTGTTGAAAAAAAAGTACAAAGAGGCAAGAACAGAAAAGAAAATGGACACAGTAGAAGATCTTGCAGTTATATTTACCATCATCAAAAACGGGAAGGTGTTTAATATTCTTACCTCTTAAAGCTGGTAGCATAAGAAATTTCTTGACAGACGCTTTAACATTTTATTACCAGATGAGTTACAACAAAACAAGAACGTCCCCGATCTTTAGATGCTTAAAAATTAGCTGATTTTTCATATGTTGCTGTAGGTTCTTGACGTATTTGTTCCAGAATAATCGTTTTAATGATTTTTACTAGTTTATCCGGAAAGCTTTTTTAATTATCGTCTACCTAGAGACTGAAAGAAATTTCTTACTATTTCAATAATAATACTATCTGGAATTCACGAACGTGCTCTTCAACGGAAGGAATCTGAATCAGGAAATTTATGGAGATATTAAAATTTGAATACAAGCAGGTGTGTTACAAGATCACTTTGAACTCTACTCGGTAAAACAAAGTATGTTTCAGTTCATGTGCAAAATGAATTAATTACCGTTTGCAGGCAGGTTCTAAGAAGACAAATCATTGACACTGTAAAAGACAAACTATAGACCTTGAAGTACACACAATAATTGGATGTCCTTTCATTGTTGCAAACTTTTTCCATTGTGTGCCATACAGACTGAATTTAGTTATTAATTTTATTCAAACTTAGTCTATCTTAGACATCTTAATCATCGTTTTCATGTACTAAGAAAATCGCTAAATTTTAGCAAGTTCACACCTCTCTTATAAGTCCTTTGAAGATCGTACTATGAATCCAGAGTATAAAGCAGCTATAAGAACGCAAGCTTGTTGTCATGTTCATAATAGCAAAGTATATATAGTTTGAAAATAGAGCCTGTCGTCAATGCTCTTTAAGTGTTTGCATAAATTTTCTTGACGTTTCGTTTTGAGCACGAAACTTATTTTGTAAGTATTTATCAAAAAATTATCGCTCATGATGCACCCCGCTAGACAACTAACGACGCTTTATCGATCATTGACTGCAGGTATAAGCAGGACAATACGGTGAACGGCACAAGGATGTAGAAGACAGTGGACAACCACCACATTAAAGATTCTACTTATAACCCTGGTTAAAATCGTATGGTAAGTCTCCCAAACAGATCTCCGGAGGAGAACAGTTAGCGTATCCATAAAACAGAAACATTGCAACCACAGACTATAAAGATATGTACCTGGAACGTTAAGACTTTGGCAAGAGGATGAAAAATAGACAACGCTATCTATGATATGAAGAACTTGACCATTAATATAATGGGCATGAGCGAAATGAGATGCCCTGAACCACGGGCACCACCGCGCACTCTACTCGGAGAAATTAAAACACGGAGTCTAAGATGCTATGTCTTATCCACACTGTTATACGGTATGGAATCCTGGGCCTTGACAGAAGCCACAACTAAAAAACTGGATCCCGTTGAGATGTGTCTGTATAGACGAATGTTCAAAATTCCACGGACAGCTCCCATGACTAACAGGGAACTGCTACAAAGAGTGAATAAGGAATTGG